CATGTCTGTGTTCTACCTCCCTTAACCAAGATAACTTGAAGCTCCGCAACATCCCGGTCACTGCTGGTGCTAGTCTGCGCATCGTGCCCTGCAGCTCACGTTCTCAAGGGGTCCCTGAAAACTTCAATCTTCCGTTGAAATTTAGAATGTTGAATTTAGAATCATAGCGCTAAGCTTCACTCCAATAAGCGCGCCATCCCTATCTTTAGCAGATAGCGAAGACTTTCAATTCCGATGGTTCCAGTAACTGTCTGATTGTAGATCGTTTTTCTTCTTCTTCTTTTTTCGTTCGTCTGAACTTTTCTAGTATGAACTTCAGTGTCTGTTGTAATACACTCAGGGCTTGTAAAATTTGGCTTGCACCGGCGTTTCTCTTGGCCACAAGTTTTGCCTTGATATGTTGTATCTGGGACAGTCTTGGAGGACGTGATCTTTTGTCTCAGGTGCCAATCCACATGTGCACATGGCTGATTCGCCGATTTTAAATTATGCGTACACATGACTGCGAAGTCGACTGTGTCCTGTTCTAAAGCGTAAAATAATAACTTGCTCTGGTCTGTGCATAAATGGTAATCGTCTTGTGCCGGTTATGGTGCCTTTGTTTTTGATTTGTTGATAAGAGACTGGTACGTCAGGTTGTTCTTCATTTGTACCTTCCTTGGCTAGTTTATTAGCTTTTTTTGTATATCCATCTCGCCTTTCCCTTGAGTGTTGAGCGTCGGCAAATCCCCTGGTAACTCCCCGCATCGCCATTCTCCTCATAATGATCTGTGTGTGCCTCCCCAATGTTGAGAGGGCCTTGGCAACATCTAGCTTGTCATACATCCATTCACTATCCAGTGGTGAAGCAGAGACCAGAGTACCAGCCGGCTCGTTTCTCAAAACATCGACATGACCTGGCGAAAATATCCAAACGACGCTAACTACCCGGGACCTCTGAGGTGATGCTTGCCACTATGCACAGAACATTCCTGTCTCCACCATTCTCAACAAGTCATTTACAATTACGCCACGTGTGTACATCTGATTCTCAAGCCAGCAGAAGGCAGCAATGACTGTCTCCATCTCCACTCTCAGACTAGACGTTGTGATATCATATGCCAGGCTTTGTTGCACTAATCACATCACTTGGGTGGAAAATGTCATAAATCATTCGTTAAACTTCTGATTCTGCAGCACCATTTGGCCAGTCCCTGCACTCACGACCTAATGTGATAAGTACCCTACATAAATCTGATGTTTGCTAGGACACTTTGACCCACTCCTTTCCTCGCACAAATTTATCAAGCCTGCACACAAGTTTGACTGTGTTTTCAGTCTGCACCATCCAAGTCCAATTTTCAGTCTGCTACCTTTAGCTCTACCTAGGGCTTCATGCATGTGGTGCTTCTTGTCTTTAGTTACTCTCAGATATAACTTTGCTTCCAGAACTAACGTTGAGCCTATCTGCAATAGTAGGCAGTGCAAATATATATCGCATACATACTACATAATTCTGGGATATCTCTTGTACATCCCAGAATTACCCGCGTGGCTTCATTCTCTATCTGTTCAAGTTTCATCAGCTGACTCTTTGATATGGCAACTACATAATCTACCAGCGACAGGATCATATGCTGAAACATTGTGAACAGCATTGTTTGTTACATGTGCATTGCTGCCTAGGTCCTTTTTGGCATTTCATCGCAACTGCCTCCGCATGATCCCTGACAGACAAGTTTGCATAGAAAAAAAACCTGCGTACCTCATGTCTTCTTTAAAAAGGCTGGAAGCTCACTTCACTACTGACACTTCCTCTTATATAAGAACAAACATACATATCGATGCAGTAAATATTTGCTTTTTAAATTAGTATTGATATGGCAGCACGTATTATTATTTTATTAATATCATTATCAGACACAATCGACTTCGCAGCCACATGTACACACAATTTAAATATCGGCGAATCAGCCATGTGTACATGTGGACTGGTACCTGAGACAACAGATCATGTCCTCCAGGACTGTTCCACATACAACATATCAACTTTTGGCCAAGAGAAACATCGGTGAAAGTCAAACTTTACGCATCGCTGAGTGAATGACAAAAGTCAGTGAAGTTAATACTAGAGAAAACATTGCAGATATAGATAAATTATTTCAAAAAAGCGAAAGAAGCAGAAGAAGATCATTACTATTATTCAGCTTATTGCAGGGCTGAATAGAGGAAAAGTGGAGGCGAGGCAGACCAAGACAAACCAGAAAACAGAATTTGACTGACTAGACAGGCCTGAGGCATGCAACTATGAAGTCCATCGCGTCTGATCGTCAGTCGTAGACGGAGCTGACCAGACAGTCAACAGCAGCTGGTGAAGAACGGGAAGAAGGTAAATGTACCAGTCATTGAGGTTCATTGCAACAGACATCGCTCGCCTCCAGAACCTCACTGATTGATCTTCTAACTGCCCCCACCCAACCCAAAAAAAACCTGCCCCCCCCCCCTTCTCTCCGTAAAGCAGTGGATCGCAAACTGTTCATCCCCACAACGCATAATGGCAGAAGTGGAAATTGACAATGTGATGACGTTTTTAGAACAAAGAATTCCAAGTGACTCAGTTTTAAAACACAAGTCCCAATTATACCATTTTAAAACACATTTTTGTTCATTATACAGTTTAAATACATAGAATTAAATTACATTTTTAAAATATATAATTCCAAATTAAGCATTTTAAAGCAAATAACTTCAATTAATCTTTTTTTTTTTTTTAAACATGGAATTCAAAATTATTTAATGTTAAAAATGAGTTACAAATTTTCACTTTTATCCTTATTTAATTTCTAACATATATCAGTGTCAACTGGAAAGAGGGGGGGGGGGGGGGGAACACCTTTTGGCCAAGAGAAACATCGATGAAAGTCAAACTTTACGGAAGACATGAGGTACAAAAGACATTAAACGTTTTAAATACTTTTGAAAATAATTGCCTGAGAAATTGGTGAACATAAAATTACGACGAATTCAATAAAGGTGCAGAATTCGGAGACTTGCCTGGACAATCGTTAATTTTAACAGTTGTAAGAGAAAAAATATGACAATATATTGAGGCATATTCTGAGATAAAGTAGACAGAGAATCACGAAAGAGGCTCTGAAATGAGAAGCAAATGACGAAAGTGACGAAATGAGGATGTCTTTGAGAAACCCTTCTACCCTCATAATTACCAGGTATCAGGTGCTTTGCAGAACGGCTCTCCTATCACAACCTTCTCTGAAAGAAACTCGGACCCTTGCTAGCTCTTGCACCTCATGCACTTTCCAGCCTAAGATGTACCATATCACGTGGCTATCAGCTCGCTGGTCAGTCCCTGCCCCTCTTGTACGGTATCTCGTCCTCTCCTACAGTTCTTACCAGTACAGCTTGAGGATTGATGTAGCTAACATATTTTAGTTTCCAATACAAGATGCTGTTTGCAAGTCAATTTTCCTTAATGTTCAGATGTCACAATGTCAGCTTCAAAAAATGAGAAGATGGAGGGAGGGAGGAGGGGGAGGGGTAATAGTATACTGAAAATCTTTCTGTAACATTTCAGCTCAAAAGCCCATATATTTTTTCCGCTTTATGATCTTGAGAAGTCCTGCATTTGATCTGGGGTGGAACAGATGTGTTTTGTCACCTCTACTGTTTATCACAGAAACGTCCGTGGCGTAGGCGTTGCGAGTCCGACTCGTAATTCCAACGTACCGCGATCGAAACCCACTGCTGGCTGCGTGGATTTTTATTATGGTAAGGGACGACGCAGGTCGACACAGCTTAAAATTGGTACCAGGAGGGCTGTCCTGGGGAAGTAAAAAAGGCCGGTGTAATGCTCCATTACCCATCTTGTGCCGATGTCTGTAAAAATATGGGCGCTCTTCCCATATTTTCCGATACGCCTAATGGCGTGAAAAGGGATCTTTTTTTTTTTTACTTATTGTTTATCACATACATCGACCTCATATGCAAATCATTCCCCCGTGTGGGTTCCGGGGCCCTATTGTGGGGAAAACAAGAATAGACCCACTGCCTCCCCAAAGGCATGTCGTAAGAGTCGACTAATTGGGGAGCTTCCTTTGAAGTCGGAGTGCATCTGCCGGGGAGGCAAGGAGCCAACAGTCTGTATTCTCAAGAGAATGAGATCTGTAAAACTGATGCACATGCAACACTCAGGTTTTGGAGCAGGACTGCAGTTCAGTAGTGGACGAGCAACCAGAACTTTCCACCAGAGTGTACAGCTGGTGAACGCGAAGAAGAAGAAGATATGCAAATCAGCTAACTCCAGCGAAATAACGATTATTAAAGTGCGACACTGGAGGATTACTAAATGAATTGCTTTTCGCCTATGACCAGGTAATCATAGCACCACCAGTAGTACAGTAAACAAAAACACATTAATAGACTCCATACCACCGTTCCCGTCATGCCACCATGACATGTAACATGGCCAAGATACCTAAGCTTTCGGGACAACATGCTGTTTATGATCCATTTCTCCTCTATGTTTTTTTTTTTCTTTTAGTATCTAGAAACCCTGAGTTGTGAGTTGTAAACCTATTGGCTCGGTACTATGGATATCGCAACCCTTCGGCCTTGATTCCATGATAAATACCGTAAATCTGGGAGAAATGTGGCCTTTCTGTCTACCTCCGGGCGTGAACCCGGACCATAAGGAGTTTGTCACCCTGCCGCCGCGCATAGGGTTTCAACCAACTGCGCTAGGGAGCCGGGCCACCTTGGTGCTTATATCATATAGATTGTCGGTGTTGCTCTTCGTCTTGGGTCATGGCATTATAACAAGGTTTTTTTTCTGTAGCACTTCAGTTTAAAACATCCAAGTTTTATCTTCAAAAAAATGAGTGAGATCACATGACTCATATCCACAAGTTTGTCAAGTTTACAAAAGATATTTAAGTCTATTCTTGAATAGTGTACAATTGGCACATAAATCAGTACATTATTACTCGCAAAGGACTGCATGTTATATTCGTCTGATGAAAAGTCTACAAAACATATTTCATTCTATTCTTGAGAAGTGTAAAATAGACACATAAATCTGTACATTATCACCCGCACACAACTCTTCTTTCTAAGCTCCAGATGGGATGATTTATCGCATAAATGTTCGTCCTCTTATTAAAATGCAGCTTTGTCCTGCCCTGCTCTGTTCTTCATCTCTGTGATAGTCTTCCGTCTTTTCAACGTGCCTAGATATTTATTTTTGTGTACTTTATTTCTGTAATGTTGAATACATTACATCATGAAAAGATGTTACACTGTTTATTGTGATGTTTAGAGAATTTGTCAGTTTCAGAATAATGTTCACTGTAAATTGTCGCTAGCTCCGTAACGAGACGATGGTGGCGTTACTGGCAAACTCTGGAGGCATTTGGTCGAACTTGAAGAAGGCGTTTCCCCAGGTGGCGGTGGCAAACAGGAGGATGGGAACGCTGACACAGTTTAGGAACAGTCCACTGACCACCTGTGGGGGAGACAATGGTAACCAAATAAAGGGGTGTTTTTTGAAACTGCTGTTAGAGAGATGATTTTATTAAAAAAGTAAAAAGTAAAAAATAAATGGATGCTTCTTCAAATGTTGTGTCAAATACTTATAAATAGGTTATTTCTTACAAAAAGACAATTAGATAACAGTTGAAATACGGATGGAATTTATCCGAGGTGATGATAAATGGATGTTTTCCGCACACACACATACACACGCACACACACACCAACACAGTCTCTTTCTCACACACACACACACTAACACACTCTTACACACACACTCTCTTTCACACACACACACACGCACATACTAACACACACATATACTCTTTTTTACACATGCTCACATATGCACACACACACACACATACACACACACACACACACACACACAGGGTATCTCCAGTAAAAAACATTTACTCTTCGTCAACCCCCTCACTGACGAACATTTTGTTTTCGTTAGAGATCCAAATATGATTCACCAATGGTAGACTCGCTATTAAAGTTTGAGGAAATAAGATTCATCATAAAGTGCTATCGGAAGTGTGTGAATGTCACGAAAGTGTGTGAATGTCACGGAGGTGTGTGAATGTCCCGGAAGTGTGTGAATGTCCCGGAAGTGTGTGAATGTCACGGAAGTGTGTGAATGTCACGGAAGTGTTTGAATGTCACGGAAGTGTGTGAATGTAACGGAAGTGTGTGAATGTCACTGAAGTGTGTGAATGTCACGGAAGTGTGTGAATGTCACGGAAGTGTGTGAATGTCACGGAAGTGTGTGAATGTCACGGAAGTGTGTGAATGTCACGGAAGTGTGTGAATGTCACGGAAGTGCAAAAAACATTTAACATTTTCTTAGCACTTCCGTGACATTCTCACACTTCGGATGGCACTTTATGACAAATTGTCTTTCCTCAGATTCATTCTTTTAATCGCGAGCGTAATATTATTGACATATATTTTGATCTTGTAACAAAAAACGGAAAGTTTATGAGTGAGGGGTCGATAAAGAGTGGGTATATTTTTGGGGGGACACCCTGTGTGTGTGTGTGACCGGGCCCATGTGCGTGTGTCCGCGCGCGCGCACGCCTGTGTGTGTACATATATACAGTATTATTTATTGCGGCAACTGTAGTCTGAACACTAATTGTTATTGAAAAGATACAAAGTAACACACATACCATATCTACGACTCTGACAATACCATGGGAGAAGACGATAGCGTTTGGAGGCGTTGCTACGGGCAACATGAACGCGAAGGATGTGGTAATGGCGGCGGGAAACATCAGAAACAACGGATTCAGCTGCAGACTAATGGCCTGTGGAAGAGAAAAACTGTCAATGCCTTCAACAAACAAACAAACAAACACAGAAACAAACAAACAAACAAATTGGGTTCTTTTCTTAGCGACCACATCACGACTGATTTAGGAACATCCCATGTTATAGGGGGTTGAGGGTTAGGGCTAGTAGTAGTTGCCATTCATTTAACACTAAACCTAACATCAACCCTCCCCCCCCCTCCCCCATAGTATGGGATGTACCTAAATTACGCGTGATGTGGCAGCTAAACAGAAAAGAACCAACAAATGTTTATTCTGTTTAATATGAACAGTGTAACGCACAACAAAATCTCCATGTTGCTAAATATGTGTGTTGCTGTTTTAATCATACTTTTGTATAAACTGTTTCCCTTCCAGCCTACAATTAAACTTCTGCAATTCCGAGAACATCTATTTAAAGTCGTCAATGTTGAATTCTGTGGATTAGGCGTTGCGAACGCGCTTCGTAATGCCACGGTGACAGGTTCAATCCCAGCTGCGGGCCTTGCGCCTTGGGTTGGTTTTGATAGTGTTATCAGGGGTCCGACCTATATTTACCTAAATCTGCCTAGAAAAACCACAACAGCCAAAAATGCTGGGTTTGGTTCTGCAACTGACACAAACGGTCATGACATGATTTATAACCGACACAAATTGTCATGTCCGGATTTACAGCTGACACACACTGTCATGACAGGAGTTACAACTGAAACAGACTGTCACGACATGATTTACAATTAAAACGAACTGTCATGATAGGATTTATAACTGACATAAGATGTCCTGACAGGAATTAAAACTGACGCAAACTGTCAAGATAGGATTTACAACTGACACAGACTGTCATGACAAGCTGTTATCCCCACTGAGGACAGGACTACAATTTACACCTGGCTGTTGTAACTGTTACCTGTGCCCTAATTAGAATTTCTTTAGAGGTTAAGCAGGTATATGAAATTTACCCTGTTGGTCTGCAATCCAGATTGAGAGTGCTTTTTTTTTTAAATCTTATGATCCTTAACTTTCGGGTAGAAGGACGCAAAGGGGTTGGGGGGGGGGGGGGGGAACAGCATGTGCGCACACGATAAGTTCTACACCTGACAATTATATTATGATAAACCATGATCAAGACACCGGGATCAAAACACCAGGATCAAGACACCAGGATCAAGACACCAGGATCAAGACACAGGGATCAAGACACCAGGATCAAGACACCAGGATCAAGACACCTTTCACGACACCAGGATCAAGACACCTTTCACGACACCAGGATCAAGACACCTTTCACGACACCAGGATCAAGACACCTTTCACGACACCAGGATCAAGACACCTTTCACGACACCAGGATCAAGACACCAGGATCAAGACACCTTTCACGACACCAGGATCAAGACACCTTTCACGACACCAGGATCAAGACACCTTTCACGACACCAGGATCAAGACACCAGGATCAAGACACCTTTCACGACACCAGGATCAAGACACCTTTCACGACACCAGGATCAAGACACCGGGATCATGACACCAGGATCAAGACACTGGGATCAAGACACCAGGATCAAGACACCAGGATCAAGACACCGGGATCAAGACACCAGGATCAAGACACCAGGATCAAGACACCAGGATCAAGACACCGGGGTCAAGACACCAGGATCAAGACACCAGGATCAAGACACCAGGATCAAGACACCTTTCACGACACCAGGATCAAGACACCTTTCACGACACCAGGATCAAGACACCTTTCACGACACCAGGATCAAGACACCTTTCACGACACCAGGATCAAGACACCAGGATCAAGACACCTTTCACGACACCAGGATCAAGACACCTTTCACGACACCAGGATCAAGACACCGGGATCATGACACCAGGATCAAGACACTGGGATCAAGACACCAGGATCAAGACACCAGGATCAAGACACCGGGATCAAGACACCAGGATCAAGACACCAGGATCAAGACACCAGGATCAAGACACCGGGGTCAAGACACCAGGATCAAGACACCAGGATCAAGACACCAGGATCAAGACACCGGGATCAAGACACCGGGATCAAGACACCAGGATCAAGACACCAGGATCAAGACACCAGGATCAAGACACTAGGATCAAGACACCGGGATCAAGACACCGGGATCAAGACACCAGGATCAAGACACCGGGATCAAGACACCGGGATCAAGACACCAGGATCAAGACACCGGGATCAAGACACCGGGATCAAGACACCGGGATCAAGACACCAGGATGAAGACACCGGGATCAAGACACCAGGATCAAGACACCAGGATCAAAACACCAGGATCAAGAAACCAGGATCAAGACTCCATGATCAAGACACCGGGATCAAGACACCAGGATCAAGACACCGGGATCAAGACACTGGGATCAAGACACCAGGATCAAGACACCGGGATCAAGACACCAGGATCAAGACACCGGGATCAAGACACCAGGATCAAGACACCAGGATCAAGACACCGGGATCAAGACACCAGGATCAAGACACCGGGATCAAGACACCAGGATCAAGACAGCAGGATCAAGACTCTGATCAAGTCCAGTCCGAGATACTGACCATCTGGGAGAGGATGGGCATCATGAGTGTGGCAATGGCCGTGTTACTGGTTACTTCAGTCAGGAAGGTGATGATGTAGCAGACGATCAGCAGGATGACCCAGTGGTTGAGGTCACGGAACACCAGCAGTTGATCCCCCATCCATGCGGAGAGTCCAGAATCCTGGCAGTGAAACAAGATCTTGTATAATGAAGAGATAGAATTATACAGAACCTTAACAAAGACGACACAAACAGTAGATTGCACAATTTATGACATGGCGTATTTTGAGTATTTTGGTGTATCTGTTTAGAGCAAAATACACTAAAAATCGGTTAAAATGAAACCAATAACTATAATATAAAATCAGCCACACACAGTTTTACCAGCGCAAACGCATATTCTTGACTAGGTCTTTCTATCTGTACAACCCGGATACGTCGCCCAATCGCAGAGGACTTCGCTACGTGGAAGCCACAACAAAAAATCGTTTCCGTCGAAATAAGTGCAAACAGAAAGATACAATAAAAAGGCAGGTTATTTGAATGTAACATATTTTATAATTTATTCATTAACAAAG